TTTATAACTTTGAAAAGTTAAATTTAACTTAAACAAATAACAACTAAATGCATTTCTAATTACTATTATCAAATATTTATAATATAAGTACATTCTTATTAGGTTGGCACCTCCTCCCTTTTTTTTTCAAAATTTTAAAATTTTTTTTCACGAGTCAACGGGTTAACCGCGACCAGTGAAGGTGCAACCCGCGAAGCCCGCGGGTCACACCTCCTTGACCCGTAAACCGCCCACTCGAATCACGAATCGGCCCGCGGTCCCGGGTCGATCCGGGCCGATTTTTACGGGTTAGCCGGCACGTCCGTCTTGACACTTCTACTTATAAATAGAATTCACTTATAAGAAAAAGTTTATGTTAAAGTAAAAAATTCACTTATAAGCATAAAATTACTTCTAACTTGAAAATTCACCTTTAAGTAAAGATCACTTATAAATTAAATAGAAATAAAAGAATACATATAGTTTAAAAAACTATAAGCACAAAATAACTTATAAGAAAATTGAATTATAAGTCAAAAATACTTATATGTAAAAAATCATATATAGGTACTTTTACTATAGGTAAAAAAAAATAATTTATATTTATTTTTATTATTTTTATTTTAAATATACTTGTATGTTTTTCTAATGCGGTGTAGCACCAAGCGTTGTGTTACCCCAAATTGTATCTCATCTAATTTAATATAGTGTACCGAAAGTGATCTATTAGTTTTCTTTGAGTTCATAGTAAATTTGTCAAGTAAATCATCTAAAAACCATCAAATCACGAAACACGAACTCTAGGCTCCAACATTTTTCTCACTCACTTAAATGCTTCTTGAAGGAACATTAGAGCGCGCGAACACACACACACACATAAGGCGAAATTTGAGCTATGGGTCTTTTTTTTTTTTTGAAAAATATTTTTTTAACTAGTGACTTTTTGGAGAATATGTGGTTAAAAAGTAGGAAAAAGTTTTGAGTTTACGTATATAATATTTTATTGTGTAAATGTGTGGTTAAAAATGAGTATGTATGAAAAAAAGTTTTCAAAAGATGCCATTTCATTTATGAAACATAACGTATACATCCTCAAATTAGTGTATAAATGCATATCAACTTCAAAACTAAGTATTCAGAATTTCCAAAATTTCGTTATTCCTTTCTCGGGTTTTCATTGTGCTTTACTCAAACTCAAACCGGGTAAATTGCTAATTAATCTATGAAGCTATTTGCAAGGAGTCCTCAAAGAACCTCATAAACTTAAAGGGAGTAAAATATCTCTTTTAGGACATTAAACGTGT